ATCAGGAGGAGGAGGAGGAGGAGGAGGAGGAGGAGGAGGAGGAGGAGGAGGAGACGAACCGTCGAGAGAGGTGCCGCGGCGACGCCGCCAGTCCGCGGGTGGGGCGGGGGCCTTGACTATTCGACGCCCCTGGGGGCGGCGCTCCTCGACGAGTGAGTGCGAGAGCGCGAGCACGGCCGCCCTCGGGGCTAGCGCCGCGGTGCTACGCAGAAGGCGCCGTCGTCGTCGTCGTCGTCGTCGTCGTCGTCGTCGTCGTCGTCGTCGTCGTCGTCGTCGTCGTCTATAGTCTTTTCCGTCGGCGTCGTCGCGCCGCGGTGCTACGCTGGGGGGGGTCTGCCCTGAGATCCGATGCTGCGGAAAAACTGCAGCATCTTGAAAAGTCACGACTGGAGCCCTGGGCCCCATCGTTCTGCGGCGTTTCTCTCGAGCCAGATCGACCTGCGATGGCCCCAGGGCCCGACACTCAGTGGGCGCAAGCGCCCCGCGCAAAGAACCTCTTCGCGACTCCAGGATCTCAGGGTGGCGCCGCGGTGCTGTGCAGAAGGCGCTGGCCAGCTCCCGCAACGCTCGCGAGGATCGCGCGCTGAGGAGACGCAGGCGCGCGCGCGCGCAGATGGCACGGCCCCCAGCGAGGCAGGCCACCCGCAGTTCGAGGCGGGCGCCCCCAGAGCAGCGGCGGCAGGGGAGGGGCCGCCATGGCGGCCGCAGAGTGCCCCCTGGCGCACCCACGGCTGCCCTTCTCGATGATCTCCAGGTCGTGCGCAAGTCACATGATCCTGTTAGAGGCCTGGAGGTCGGCACCAACACCAGAGTCTGCGGTGTGCTCCTACCGAGGGAGGATGTTCCTGATCTCAGGAATGGTGGTGATATTTTGGCTTCCTAAGTGGCCGAAGGATTTCCGCCAACACCGCAATCCAGGATCATCCTCCCCCAGTGGACACATCACTGGGCGCTTTGCTTCCTGGCGACGCTTCATAGTAAGGCCCGTAGGCTCGAGTTCGACTCCTCCAAGGATGCCCACTTCTCCGCTGTGCGCGCTCGTGCTCCGGCACACTCGTTCAAGAACTTCACGCTCTGAGCATGCTCCTCTCCGTTTCCGCGCGCTCCGTTTCCTCCTTCGCCTGTTGTGCCAGTCAAGCCTCGCGGTATCCTTCGGCTGCCTTCGAGCGCGGTGTGGATCCTCGCCGCTGCGCCAAACAAGTTTGGTGGCGGAGCCCATTTCCAAACCTCCAATCCTGGCGTCGCAACTTGTTCGCAACGGGCGATTCTGTCCCGTTTCGGACCCCATGACCCTCACGGACCGATGCAGCCTGAAAAATTCAGCAGAAAGATGGGGTCCAGGGCTCCTGTCGATTCTATCAAGTGGCCTTCGGCCCATCCCGCCACCCTGCTTCGGCCAGAGGCCCTTTGGATGCCTGTGAGGATCTATTGGGGGACAGAGTCTTGGAACGTCTCGGAAGCCTCTTGGGGGCTTCTTAGGTCCTGACAAACTGTTAGTTCGTGCTCCCCTCTTGGTCTGCTTTTTGGGGCAGTCTTGGGCGCCTCTTGGGTCCTTCTCTGGGGTTCTTGGCCAGTTTTTGGGCGATATTGGACACCTCTTGGGCCGTTTTGGATGCTCTGACGGCAGAAAATACGACTTGGGCTTCTTGTGAATGACGATTTGGGCTTCTTGGGCTCCCTTCTGGGGTCTCCAAGCGCCAGCCCATATGCGGCGCCCAAGAGGGTTCCAGGACGGTCCTCGGGGCTATCCTAGGCTATGTTGGACATGCACGTTCGGAGTAACTGGTTTTTGGCCTCTGAAAAATTACGCGGGGAACCCTTATAGATCACCCAAGGAAGGGCCACCCCAGGGCTACCCCTAGGGCCTACCCCTACGGTTACCCCAGGGCTACCCCGAGGGCCTACCCCTAGGGCTACCCTAGGGCTACCCCTAGGGCCTACCCCTAGGGCTGCCCTAGGGCTACCCCGAGGGCCTACCCCCAGGGCCACCCTAGGCCTACCCCTAGGGCCTAATCCTAGGGCTACCCTAGGGCTACCCCTAGGGCCTACCCCTAGGGCTACCCTAGGGCTACCCCTAGGGCCTACCCCTAGGGCCTAATCCTAGGCCTACACCTAGGACCTACCCCTAAGGCTACCCTAGGCTTACCCCCAGGGCTTACCCCTAGGGCTACCCTGGGCCTACCCCTAGGGCCTACCCCTAGGGCTACCCTAGGGCTACGTATCCCTTGGGCTTACCCCTAGGCCTACCCTAGGCCTACCCCTGGGGCCTACCACTAGGGCCGCTTTTGCCGGAGGAGAAGCACGAGGATGAGGGGGAGGCGAGACGAGGAGGAGGAGGAGGAGGAGGAGGAGGAGGAGGAGGAGGAGGAGGAGGAGGAGGAGGAGGAGGAGGAGGAGGGGGGGGGGAGGGAGGAGGAGGAGGAGGAGGAGGCGGAGGAGGAGGAGGAGGAGGAGGAGGAGGAGGAGGAGGAGGAGGAGGAGGAGGAGGAGGAGGAGGAGGAAGAGGGGGGGGAGGAGGAGGAGGAGGAATAATAATAATAAGAAGAAGAAGAAGAAGAAGAGGAACCATAATAAGAATACTAATGCGAATACTATGGATAGTACAGCGAATAATACTAATAAGAAGAATACTACGAATATTAAGAAGACGAACGCTACTAATAACATTAATATCAATAAAGATAAGAATGATAATAATACTACGGATCATGCTTATAAGAACATCGTACTATTACGAATACGAAGAGTAGTACGAATCATACGGAGACGAACCATACTAATAAGAGAACAATAAGACGAGCAATAATAATACGACTGCGAATACTAATGCTACGAATTATAAAAAAGAAGGATACTACTACGAAGAATAATAGTGCGAACATTACTGATAATAAGAAATTAAGGCTAATACCAAGACTGATACGAAAACAATACTTACTAATACTAATAGGAATAATATTAATAATAATAGTGATAACAATACTATTAAGAAGAACACGTATAATAATAATATGATGAATACTCAGCATAATACTAATACTAAGATATATAATAATAACACTAATAGCTTTAATTATAATCATATTAATGAGGGTAATAATGAGAATACTAGCAATATCCATACTAATACTATTAATACTAATACTTATGATAATACGGATAATACGGATAATACTACGAATCATAAATAATACTAATATTAGTACTAAGAAGAGGAGGAGGAGGAGGAGGAGGAGGAGGAGGAGGAGGAGGAGGAGAGGAGAGGAGGAGGGACGAGAGAGGAGGAGGAGGGGGAGGAGGAGGAGGGGGAGGAGGAGGAAGGAGGAGGAGGAGGAGGAGGAGGAGGAGGAGGGAGGAGGAGGAGGAGAGGTGCAGCCCCGCCTGCGCCGCCCTCGCCAGACGGCGCCCCCGTCGACCGTCGTCGACGTCGCCGCCGCCGCCGCCGCCGCCGTCGTCGTCGTCGCCGTCGCCGTCGCCGTCGCCGACCCTGGTGGACACTGGGACGGAAAGGGACCGCTGCGGATCACGGGAGGGCGGGCCCCTTCGGCGCCCCCCCCGCGCGAGGGCAGGGGACCGCCTCCGGGTACCCGGGTTCACACGGGAACCACCCCACCGGCAGTTCGCCGACCCTCCGGGGCCGATGTGGGGTCCAGCCCTCAGGGGCCGCGGGTTGAGAAGGTCAGACCAGCAGGTCCTCACCCCTGCGCCTGGCCCGAGGGGCCGAGCCGGGCCCGAGGGGCCGAGCCGGGCCCGTGCGGGGGGGCATAAGCGGGAAAAACAAGACCAAGAAACTTTCGGACCGACGGCGACGACGACGGCGGCGACGGCGCGGGGCCCCCACCCCTCACAGACCCCCTCCCTCTCACACCCCCCTCCCACACAAACTGCCCCCCCCCCCCCTCACAGACCCCCCCTCGCAGACCCCCCCCTCGCAGACCCCCCCCTCGCAGACCCCCCCCTCACAGACCCCCCCTCTGGGACCCCCCCTCACAGACCCTCCCCCCCTTGGGGGGTCCCCCGCTCCTCTCGGAGACTCGGAAGACGAGGGACCAGGAGGAGGGAGGAGGGGACGGAGCATGCCTTTCCGAGGTACGCCAGGAGTCGCAACGGCGGTGCTGCACGCGTGAAACCGCGTGCTCCCCAACACGGTGGCAATCCGCTGCCAAATGGAATCACTTCGTAATCCGCCACCAAAGCAATCAATGCATTTAATGTCCCGCCCGCCCGCCCGACCAAAGGAATACATTTATAATCCGCTGCCAAAGGGAATCCATTTGTAATTCGCCACACAAGCAATCAATGCCCGCCCGCCCGCCTGACAAAAGGAATCATGGTGTAATCTGCCACAGTGAGATTCAGTTTGCCATCCGCCACACAAGCAATCAATGCCTTTCATGCCCCCCCCGCCCGCCCGACAAAAATAATCAATTGATAATCCACCACAAAGGGAATCTACTCGTAATCCGTCACCAACGGGAAGCAATTGGTAATCCCACCACACAAGCAATCAATGCCTTTAATGTCCCGCCCGCCCGCCCGAATGAAGGCATCAATTTGTAATCCGCTACCAAAGGGAATATACATATAACGGCGCACCTGGTCCGGGGGCCCGGGGCCGGGACCACGACCACAAATGTGGGGACCGGGGGCTTTGGAGGCGCCGGAGGCCCACAGAATGCCATTAGAAAGCGCCAGGAGAGCCCCAAGACGCTCCAAGAGAGACCCGAGACACCCAAAGGTCGTTCTAAGACGCCCAGCATTGCCTCCGGACGGCTTCAGAAGCCCCCAAGACGCCCCAAAAGGCGTCCAAGCCGCGCCCGAAGAGATCTCCAAAAGGCAAAAATAGCCCCGTTCCCTTCGTAAAACGTATATTTTTACTACATCAATTGTTTTCGCTGCCGTACAGTTCATGACGACGCCGGAGGCCCCCAAGACAGCCCCAAGCCAGCCCAAGAGGCGCCCCAGAGGGCCCCAAGACAGCCCAAGAGAGCCTCAAGACGGCCCAAGAGGCGCCCAGAACAGCCCAAGTGCGGCCCTGAGGCCCACAAAAGGCTACCAGAAAGGACTCGGGACGTTCCAAACGCGACCCGAGACGCCCAATGGTCGCACCAAGACGCCCAACATCGCCCCAGACGGCTTCAGAAGCCGCCAAGACGCCCCCAAAGGCCTCCAAGACGCGCCCGAAGAGATCTCCAAAAGGGCAAAATAGCCCCATTCCCTTCGCAAAACGTATGTATGTATGTATGCATGTATGCATGTATGCATGCATGCATGTATGTATGTATGTAGGTAGGTCGGTAGGTAGGTAGGTATGTATGTATGTGTGTATGTATGTATGTATGCATGTATGTAGTGTAATGTAATGTAATGTAATGTAATGTAATGTACTGTAATGTAATGTAATGTAATGTAATGTAATGTACTGTATGTATGTATGCATGCATGCATGCATGTATGTATGTATGTATGTATGTATGTATGTAGGTAGGTAGGTAGGTAGGTAGGTATGTATGTATGTATGTATGTATGTATGTATGTATGTATGTATGCATGTATGCATGTATGTATGTATGTATGTATGTATGTATGCATGTATGTATGTAATGTATGTACTGTAATGTATGTAATGTATGTATGCATGCATGCATGCATGCATGTATGTATGTATGTATGTATGTATGTATGTATGTATGTATATATATATATATATATATATATGGTGAGGGGTCCTGGACCAGGGGGGGGGCCTCACTTTGCCCAGTGGCCGTGGTCATCCCCCCGCCGGAGACGCCAGGACGCTCCCAGGACCCTCTAAAATGGCTCCAGGACGCCCTCAGGACAGCCCAAGAGAGGTCCGAAGCGGCCCAGGAGCACTCCAAGACGGTTAAAAAGCTGCCAAAGCGTCCCAGCATGTCTCCGACAGCACCCCCGGGAGGGGCCCAATAGGAAGTTGTCATTGATTTTTAGCGGGTTTTGAAGGGTTTTGACGTTCTCCCCAGTTCGGCTTCCAGACGCTCCAAGGCGGCCCAAGAGGCCCGAAAGATGGCCTCAAGACGAGCCCAGAGGCCCCCACGAGACCACCGAGACAGCCCAAGAGGGCCCCAAGACGGCCCAGGGAGCTTCCAAGACGGCACAAAAGAGCTCCCAGAACACTCCAAGAGGAGCCCCAGATGGGGAACACGAACTGACATTTCGAGCCCTCGCCAACCAGAAGCTCCCAAGAGGCCCCCAGGAGTCCGCAAGAGGCCTCGAGAGGCCCCCAGGAAGCTCCAAGAGGCTTCCAAAAGGCGCCGAAAGGGCCCCGCAAGGCTTCCAGACGCTGGTGATAATGACAATGATGATTATACAGGGCGGCCTCAGGCCCACAACCTAAATCCCCAATACTGCTCACGCGGCATGCAAGACGCTGCGGAGATATCCTCGAGTTCGGCGGGGGAGCTTCGGAGACGACGGTGAAGAAAATGATGACGATGATGACGACTATATGAAGTTGACGACGATGATGATGATGATGATGCTGCTGATGATGATGATGATGATGATGATGATGATGATGATGATGATGATGAGGAAGAACATTATGATGATGTTGACAGTGGGAATGATGATGCTGATGATGATGATGATGTTGATGATGGTGATCGTGATGTGAGTGATGGTGGTGATGGTGATGGTGGTGATGCTGACGATCATGATGACGATGACGGTGATGCCGTTGAGGATGGTGATGCTGACGATCATTATGGTGATGCTGCTGATGGTCAGGATGATAACGCCGATGCTGTTAATAATGGTGGCGATGCTGTTTATGGTGCTTGTGATGCAGGAGTGGGCGGATGATGAAGATGATGACGATGATGATGACGATAACGATGACGACGATCGACGACGACGACGACGATAATGATGACGATGGCGATGATGAGGATGATTATGTTGATAATTCAGGTGACGATATTGACGATGATGACGACGATGGCGATGATGACGATGGTGATGACGATGTTGCTGCTGATGGTGGTGATGGTGACGATTGTGATGATGGTGATGGTCATGGTGATGATGACGATGCCGCTGACGATGACGCCGGATATGATGGTGATGAGGATGGCGATGATGACGATGGCGATTATCCTAGCTAGAACTTGAGCGCGCGCGAAGCGCGCGCGATGGTTCTAGTAAACATGTAATCCGCCACCAAAGCAATCAATGCATTTAATGTCCCGCCCGCCCGCCCAACCACAGGAATCAGTTTGTAATCCGAAATACAAGGGCTACCCCTAGGGCTTACCCCTACGGCAACCCTCGGGCTACCCCTGGGGCCAACCCCTGGGGCTACCTTAGGGCTACCCCTAGGGCCTACCCCTAGGGCTACCCTTGGGCTACCCCTAGGGCCTACCCCTAGAGCTACCCTAGGGATACCCTAGGGCCTACCCTAGGGCTACCCTAGGGCCTACCCTAGGGCTACCCTAGGGCTACCCCTAGGGCCTACCCCTAGGGCTACCGTAGGGCTACCCCTAGGGTCCACCCCCAAGGCTACCCTAGGGTAACCCTAGGGCCTACCCCTGGGGCTACCCCTAGGGCCTACCCCTAGGGCTACCCTAGGATGTCCAGTAGGGCCTACCCTTGGGAAGCCTAGGGCCTTCAGTAGAGCCTACCCTTGGGAAGCCTAAGGCCTTCAGTACGGCCTACCCTTGGGAAGCCTAGGGCCTTCAGTAGGGCTTACGCTTGGGAAGCCTAGGGTCGGTAGAAGGGCCTACGGTAGCCACGGCCCCCGGTGATCTATACTGGGGACCCCCCGGGAACGCCCAGGGAGACGTCACCTGCGAAACGCCTGGGAGCGCTCAGGAGCGCCACTTAAAGTAAGTATACAATGCGGAGAGTTCGAAGGGACTTGAGGACACCCCAACTCGTGCCGCGTGAACGCTGACTCCGGATCTCAGGGAATACGTGTTCACCCTGTCCAGCTCCAATGGGAGCGCACAGCCCCTGTCGGCCCTCATTCTGCCAGCTGGCGGGCCTCGGTGGGCAAGGGCACACGTCGGCGCCGGCGCACGCCCTGAGGATCATCGCCTTCACGGGCGTGCTGAGCAAACGCTCGGAGCTGATGGGCATCTGGCAGCAGCGGCGCGTGGAAGTGGACGTCGGCTCGCTCCGCTACTTCCGGGACGGCTGCGCGGAGCCCCGCGCGTGCTTCGGCCCCGGGGACGTCGTCGGCGTGGGCTGCCAGTCGCCGTCGATGGTGCTCCTGCGGGCGCTTAGCACCGTCGAACCTATCCCCCTCCCCCTCCTCCTCCCCCTCCCCCTCCTCCTCCTCCTCCTCCTCCTCCTCCTTTTCTTCCTCCTCCTCCTCCTCCTTCCCCTCGTCCTCCTCCTCCTCCTCCTCCTCCTCCTCCTCCTCCTCCTCCTCCCCCTATGAACTTATCAAAGCCCCCGAAGTCTTTGATGGCAACAATAAGAAAGAACAGCCATACTAACATCTGATGGTATCTTCACACCGCTGGCGCGCTCGACTCAAGGGCCCTAAAGGGTTTGCGCCAAAACGTAACAGTACGCTCGCTATGCTACAGTCATGCTCTGCACAATACACAAGATGTGCAGTGTATATCTCACACCCGTGAAAGAGTAAAAACAAGGAACAGGGAGAGGCCCTCTCTTCAATATAACATGTGAAATCCGAAACTCCACATATAGACATCTTTAACATATTCTGCACACACTGCCGAAGACTGCACAAACCAACTGCATACAACTGAGATTCAAAACCTGCATACATATGAAATGCAAACCTGCGTCTGCAAGGGGAATATGAAGTGCATAACTGGCAATACAACTGAACGTGCAAACAAAAATCATCTGAAGCTGCGCTGGTGTGTTGGCTCACTCACTGCAGCTCTTGGGTCTGTCGTCTGCTGCCCGATCGTATCCGTCCTGCCACTGGTTGGGTTCAGTCGTCTCCACTGAAACTTCGCCTGTATCCATTCATTCTGTGACCGAATCGCCAATGATCTCCCTGCAGCCGGTAAGTAACCATACTCTGTACGCCGACCGTCCGCCGTCGCACCTGCTTATGGTTGCCGCTCGTCTTCTTGAGGTGGATGGTCGTCTCCTTGTCGATGCTGGTCGTCGCTGTCTCCTCTGTCGTCTCATGCTTGTTGCTGGTCTCGGTCTGGTACTTCACACTGAAGTCGTCTCGATGCTCCATAAACTCGCAATATGTAGTAGACAGCTGGAACTGCCACTGCCATTCCAATCATGGTAAACGTTAATGCATCCCAGATGCCTCCAGAAAACCACGAACACTTCGCGATCTCGTCATATTCGTACTTATACTGTGTGTGGTAGTCGAACTTTGGAGTGTAGGTTGCCGCTGACTTACAACACCACGTCACAAAGACCGTCAAGTGCATGAATGGTGATCTAGCCTTAGTAGCTGATGACGTCTCCATCTTACTGTTCTTGATCATTTCCTGTCGCTCCTTCTTGGTCTTCTTCTTGGTTAGCTGAAGTCGTCCAGCTCGAAGTCTGTCTGCGAAGAGTTGCCTTGCCTCTAACTTCGTGAGACCATCCGCATACTGTCGCTCTGATGAGACCCACTTCCACTGCGTCTGTGTAGCATCCATCCGTTCTCGTAGTGCCAATACCTCGATGCCAGTGCGCTTGGCCTGAAAGCTGGTGATGCTCTCCTTCTTGGCTGCGCCGTAGAGCGCCTTCGCATCGATCGCGAGTGCTGACTCTCCTGCGTAGTGCGTGCTCTTGTTAATGTTGACGTTGACGTTGTCGTAGATGAGGGCTGTCCAGAATCGCTTTGCAAATTTTAGTGCGTTTATGCTTGCTGTCGCTGCTTGGGATTCTGCATGTAGTAATGACCTGAGCTAGTTTCATCAACTTGAAAGACTTCCAGTCAATAACGCAGAAATCTGTGTCCTCGCCGTGAAGTACTTTCGAGTGACATGCCATAATCACATATCCTCCTTGACTAGATCCGTCTTGTCGTACTCCCCAAGCTGCGTCCGTCATCGCTGCGAGCACGATGTCGCTGACCTTGCCAACCTTCTTCATCTTGAGACCGACGTCCGCGTTCTGCTTGTAGAACCTTGGCGTCTTATTTACCTCTCTTGCTGTCGCCACCGTCACCGCTGGAAGCTGCCCTTGGTGAATGCTGACCGATGCTGGCGTATGTGGGCATGCTTGCGAACTTGGCCACTGTAGAGCTCCAAGTAGTCCTCGAAGTTGGCGTATCTCCTTTGGCGTGAGTGGTCGGTCGTTGTTGCCGTCCCTCTGATCAATCGTGATCGGTTTGAGGTTGGAGGCGTAGGACTGCATCTTGATGTTGATCTCAGTGCCGTTGGAGTGCTTGTTGTCCCAGAGTGGTCTGGTGTAGATCCGATCCGTAAGACTCCATTCTGTCCTCCTCCTATCCACTTCCGAAACTTGAACTTGCTCTTGGATGCCTGGATGATGTTGCTGCAGTTACCGCCGGGCTTGCGATCTCCTCCTCCGAGCATGTCGTCTACGTAGAGTAGGGTAAACCCGTCGCAGTTGCCGTCCTTGTCGTAGCTAACGAAGAGGCGTGGGTCCAGGGGGTGCTGCTTGAGCCCGCTGGCCTTGAGGTCATCAACTGCTCGTTGCCACCCACGTCGTGGTGCGTCCACTTGTCCGTACATAGGCTTGATCAGCTTCATGAGCGTGTCCGGCTCGATGCCCATGAGGTCTGCCGCGTCTCGTGGTCCTTTGGCGTAGGGTACTCGTTCTTGCGGCCGTCCCTGTAGGAATGCGCTTGCCACGTCCGCTGTCCACAATCTCCATCCGCTGTTTGCTGGCAGTAACAAAGCCAGCTGACGTCCCAATCGAGATGCTGTAGGTGATGCCGTCGGTACCGTGCCGTCAAATGTGTCTGGGTCGTTAAAGCCTTGTAGCACTAGACGTGCCTTGGCCCTCGGTGTGCCGTCATTGGTCTTGGTCCATTTCAGTACCCACCTGGCCTTCAGGATGCGCTTGGGGTCTTCGTCTCCGGTAGGCTTATGAAACTTCCAAACTTAATTTCCGAAGAATTCTTCAAACTCCTTCCGCTTGCCATCCATGACTGCTGCTTGCTCGTGTGGTGTCATGGTCCCGGTACTGATGTCGGCGTGAATGTCATTGAGCTTCGCTTCGTTGCCGTCGAACTCCCATCCGAATGGTAGGTCCTTGTCCTCTGGCATGAGCTGCATTGCTGCGAGCTCGTCGTCTGCGCTGTCGTCTTCCACTGGCTGAGACTCTGCCGTTGGTACTGATAACGGTGGTCCTCGATATACTCCTCCAGGTCGGGTAAAGATGGAAGCTTCTGCTGCGTCCAATCGCCTGCGACTTTCCTTGAACTCCAAACTCGCCGTAGAGATGTTGGAGCCGTTGTTAGTGAACTCGACGATGCTGCCGCCGCTGGTCCCACCGTAGCTGGTGCTGGTATTGGTGGTAGCAGCTGAACTGGAGGTGGTGGTGATGACTGTGTCTGCGTGGTTGGTGGAATCGTTGACTGCTGGTGAGGTGGGGGTGTCGGTGGTATTGGTTCTTGATCTGGTTGTCATTTGCTTGGCTGTCTTTCTTGTTGAGGTGTGCCGGGAACTTCCATCTGCTCGTCCTCTTTAGTGCCGGGTATGCCTGGACTGGGGGAGGGTGGTGATGCCATCTCCGTTGTTGCCGAAGCTGCCGCTCCAGTAAACGGTGTTTCCCTCTGTCGTTTTGGTGGTGATTCGTCTCGTGGTCCATCGTCGTCGCTGATGTCCATGTCCGAGTCGCCTGGCGCGTCGAACGGTTGCTGCTGTGAGCTGACATCGCGGAACTGCGTGACTCCGGTCCTCCTCATGTTGCCGAGCGTCTCCTTGGCCTGCGTGAGGTTTTCCAGGAGAACACATCCTTGATCGCTAACATCTGGTCGAACGTGTTCTCGGGCACAGCGTAGTAGGTTCGCGCCGTGGACGATCCAGTAGATCCTGGGTCCGCTCTCGTCCTTCCTCATCTCCTTGAAGACCACAATTGCGGGTCCCTTCCATTTGTTCTTGATGAGCTTGTTGGTCTTGCCCTCTCTCCAGTAGCAACGCCGCTGGCCGATCGCAAGATCGTGCTTGAGGGCAACGTGACGCCGTAGAAGTGCACGTCGTAGTTTGGCCGAGGCGTCCGCCTTCCTACACGCTGATGCCGCCGTTGACCTTCGCTCAAGTACATTCTTGAAATTCCCATCCTCCTTCATCTGGCACAGGGCCGCTGGTGAGAACTTGTCGCTGGAGTTGGTCATGGTAGTAGTCGGATCCATTCCCAAAGCCCACTGGCATGGTGAATAGCCCTTTGTGAAAGTAAACTGATTGACCTAATGTGGTACATAAATACAAGCCTCCGTGATCAAATCCTGCGTGATAGCCGTCCTGGTGCCACGGTCGATAACATCTGCGCAATAAAGCTCCATTGCCTCTCGAACAACTTGATGCCGAGGTTCCACCACTCCCAGACTGGAATGCGCCTCGCCTGCTGCAGCAACGATCGAAATGCTATGCTGTTCTAAAAACAGTGTAAAGCGATCTGAAGTGAAACCTGAACCATCGTCTGTCCGCAATTCTCCCACAGGTCCAAATTGCCTGATCCAGCCACGCTCAACTGCTCTGATCAGCTCCTCTGCCGTCTCGGTCTTGATGGTGCGTAGTGCACAGTAACGCGTGGCCCCGTCTATCATCGAAAGAACTGCCGTCTTGCCAGTACTATTCTTGATCCAGAAGACGTCCGTATAGACGATCTCGTTGAATTTGGTGGCCTGCTTCGCTGACGCATTGGGTGCTTGTGGTGGGCGTTGTCTGGCCATGCAGTGTTCACACCGATACTCCGATGCACACTGTAGGATGTTGTCCTCAGCGCCTGCCTGTTGAAGTAGATGATGTAGTACTGCTGGGTTGGGGTGTCCCATGTTCCGGTGAAGTCTCTTGACGTAGCGTAGTGCCTCCGTGCCGTACTGCTCTCGTAGGCGTGCGTGCTGATGAGCTTCACGACTGGAGTCCGAGTGCTCGGGTTTAGTACCCTCCGATTGCGTAGAGTCCTCCGCTGCGTAGATGTCCTCGATCTCCGGCTCGACCATGACTGGCGCCATTGTTGCTGCCAAGATGAACGGGTAATTCTCGGCGGGTTTGGTGAACTTTCGTCTCTCCAGTAGGTTGTGTCCATGTGATTGGTCGCATCGCTCGTTGAGTACAGCTGCCATGAGCTTCTGAGTCGTCTTAAGCGTCGTCGGCTTCTTGACCATGTTCGTGCTGCCCTCGATCGTTTGGCCGTGCGTGCATTGGTCGAACGTGCTGTGTTCGCCGTGTAGGCGGCTGAACGCCACGGTATGCCGCGCCCTTGACGTAGCTGGATGTTCGATGTGAGCATGTCGCCCTCCTTGCTGCTGTATGCGATATACCTTGGTCACAAACTGTAGATGTACTCGATGGTGCCATTGTCGTAGCTTGGTGAGGTAGTCGTTCCAACCGGGGTGCTGGTGGATGTTGAGCTCCTGCATGTTGGACCAGGGTCCGCACATTGGTGACAGATGAACCTCGTCAGGCTGCTCCTCCGTCAGCTTCTTGAGGAATGTCTTCTGATGACCCTCGATTGCGAAATCCCAAACGGTATTGAGCCCAAGCGTCCCCACACGTGGTCCTAGATCTCGCAGGGCTTGTGAAAATCTGGCTTCTCCAGCGTAGACTTCCCATATCGTCCGTCTCGTAGTGCACCGTTTGTGAGCTACCCTTCTCATGGTCTGTAGGTACTGCTCGCTGGCATGCTTCACGGCTGAGTCAATCTTCTGAACGAAGTTGGTCGAAAGTTGCTTGCCACCGTCATCGGGGTCGTCGTCGGTGCTGAAGTTGACTTCGTCCGTCGTAGGTGACAGTAGGCACCAGAATGTTTCCGATGGTGTGGTGTCGACTGGCTGAATGGCTGTCGTAGTGAAGCACAGGTTGCCACATGAGGAATGCTGCTGACACGGCGACTGCTTCATGTAGGCTTTGCAGCAACTAACTTGTACTACGCGTCGGGAACAGCCTTCTGTGTGAGGTCGCCGTTGTGGTTGCTCCTGCTGTTCGCCGTTTTCGCTGGAGTCCGCCAGGTAGGCGTTGTCCAGAAACTCCATGCCGCTCATGGTCTCGTTGCTGGGGTCCAGCAACTGCGCTGCATCGACGGGCTCGTACTGGAAGTCGTTCGTGTGGTGACTCGTCTTCCCGTCCATCTCCTCTAGTAGGTTCACCGTGCAGTGTCCTGAAGGTGATGGCGTTGCAGCCTCGAACTCGCCGCCGTTCCACGCAACTGTCTGCTTGGCGTAGTCGGCCTGAACTCCGAACACTTCCAGCAACGGCCTCGGAAGTAGGATGGGTGTACGTCCCGGTGCCACGTAGATGTAGAGCGTGCCTGACTTCTGCTTGAAGCTGGCATGTACTGTGCCACACCGCTGCGCGTATTCGATCTTGCCGTTACCGAACCGAGGAGGCCGTCGCTTTTTTTAGAACCTGAGGTCCTCGATGGGTTAGCCCTTCTGTCGGCAGTTCCTCACGTAGTCCTTGATAGTCTCGGAGCCGGACATGAGGGTCGTCGCTCCACAGTCCATGACTCCATTGCTTGCTGGTATTGCGCTTGTGTTGGCCTTGCTATGACACTTGTCGCCCCAGTGGACCTTCGACCATCAAGCTGTCGTCGGTGTGGACCCGCTTCTTGTCGGAGGGCTCGGTGCAATCCCTAGCCCAGTGGCCGGGCTTGCTGCGTCGTAGGCAGTTGGCTGATGGTGTTGATGTCGGTACTGGTTTCGTAGCTACCCTTTGGGTCCGCTGCCGTAGGTCGTGGTCTGCTGTATGCGCCTGGAGGTGATGATCCTTTTGGGCTGCCCTTTCTTCCTTTGGACTTACCGCGTCCTTTGGTGCCATTGCTGCTTGACCGGCCTCGTCCGTGTGAACCTCCAGCGGATGCTGCGGCCGAACCTGAATTTCCGCCTACCATCGCCACTACCGGGTAGAAGCCGCGTGGTAGCTTCAGGTCGTTGAACCGCTTCCTGGCATCCGCGTAGGCCGCGTAGACTTCGTCGTACTCGCCTGGGTCGAGCTCTTGAGCTGTGTAGGGGTCGCGCTGGTAGTAGCTCTCGTCGCAGTCGTACGAGGTCTCGCCATCCTCTGGCCAGTACGTCTGGTCGTAGTCGTCTGGCTCGTCCTCCGGCTCGCCAGTGTAGAATTCCTCATCGTAGTATTCTGCTGTGTTCTCGTCGACGAAATACTGCTTCCGTGCGTGATTCGCTCGTGCACGATACTCTCCTGCCCGAACGTTGTCTCCAACGCCTCGATAACCCTCTCCTTTGTGATATCCTCACCAACTACTGACATGATGACCGCCTTCTGGTCCGCGCTGTATCGTCCTCGTCGTAGCCTGAGCCAGCCTCGGACCTTCGCCGGTAGCTCGATGTCGTGCGTCCTGAGCTTGCGCTCTGCAGCGCGCACTCTTGAGGTGTAGGCGAACAGCGTCTCGCCCTTGTACCGCTTGAGCTTGAAGAAGTACTCCTCAAAGTCGTCCGCGAGCTCCGTCCTGTCGTACATCTTGAAACGATTCCGCAATCTGGCCATGAGCTGCTTCGCCGCGTTGGGCTTGATGAGCTCGTCTGCTGAGAGATCCTCAACTTCGTCCCAAGCTTCGCCTGTGAGACCTGCGCTGAGCATGAGAGCTGCTTCGCCCTGCTTCTTCTCCAATGTGAGCTTCGCAATGAAAATCATCGCCCGCTTCTCGTATTCTTTCCATTTGCTGAGCGTGCCGTCGAACTGTGGAACTCCTCGCTCCAGTAGCATGTCCGCCATTGGCTTGGACATCGTGCTGAACTGAAACTGTAAGGGGTTGCCGTCCGATGCGTGCTGCCCGAAATCGAAACTGCCCTTGTCTATGAAACCGACTGTGAGGTCGTGTGTGTGGGCTGCCGAGAAACTGACTTGAACATCTCCTCTGAGATCTGTTGTGAAATCGCAGAGATCTGCTGGGAGATCGAAGCTGCTTATGGAGGCGGCGACCAGATCCGAAGAGAGGCCGCTGAGAGATGGAAGGTCGAAGCGTGAGCTTGGCTTACCAGGCTCCGCTACCAATATGAACTTATCAAAGCCCCCGAAGTCTTTGATGGCAGCAATAGGAATGAGCAGCCATAATAATATCTGATGATATCTTCATACCGCTGGAACGCTCGATTCAAGGGCCCTAAAGGGCTTGGGCCGAAACGTAACAGTACGCTCGCTATGCTACAGCCATGCTCTGCACAATATACAAGATGTACAGCGTATATCTCACACCTCCTCCTCCCCCTCCTCCCCCTCCTCCTCCTCCTTCTCCTCCTCCTCCTCCTCCGCCTCCTCCTCCTCCTCTTCCTCCTCTTCCTCCCTCAACTCACTGGGCTATGGTACCTCAGCCCCACCAGCCCACCCTCTTGGGTGGGGACAGGTCGCGAAAACCGGGAAGCCCTAAGGAGCAGGCATCTGAATCCCCACCTGATCGGATGGGCAGGTCGGCCAGTGGGGCCCACGTCACGCCGGTCGGGATAAGCGTTTTTTCCTTCCGGCGAAGCTCAGGCGCGGCTGGCGGGCGGCGACGAGAGGACGTACGAGCTGAGGGCCCAGGACGACGGCGAGATGCACACGTGGGCGCAGGTCATCGGGCTCGCCTTCGGCCTCGAGGCTGAGGGCGCCCTCCTCGGCACGGCAGACGAGCAGCACCGGCAGCCAGCGCGGCGCTCCGAGCGAGGCGCCCCGGGCGAGGCGGTGGGGCGCGTCGCCTCGGCGGCCTCTGGCGCGGCGGCGGCGGTCGCTGGGCTCTTCGGGCGGGCTACGGGGAAGGCTCGGCCACGCGCAGAGGGGGGTAGGGGGAGGGGGGAAGGCTTCTTAGAAGCACCCCTGCTTCTTAGAAGCCGCGGGCCTTGTCTGCAGATGTAGGGCCGGCGCCTTCTGAGAAGCAGCCTCCTTCTAAGAAGCCTTCCCCCCTCCCCCTACCCCCTTGTGCGCGCCGCCAAAAGGCCCAGTGGGTGGACGAGAGTTGGAGCTGGCTGGGAGCTGAGGTGGCCCAGCATCGAAGAAGGAAACGCGCCATAAAAGCATGAACTTTTGGCGATCCCCGCGGATTTTCCTCGTATTCGCGCTTGGACCCCGCTCTGGCGGCGTCTCCCGCGCCGCCCCTGGCGCGCTCCGCGCGCCAGGGAGGGGGGATCCAGCTCAGATCCAAGAAATCCGCGCGGACCTCCAACAGTTTATGTTTACGCCGTCTTTTCTTGCTCCATGGCACTGGCTCTGGCCAGCCACGGCCGGGCGCGGCTCTCGAAGGACTGGTCGGTCTGAAGCCGGCGAGGGGTCCAGGGAGAGATTTTGCGCGAGTTTGCCCTCATCCCCCCCCCTCTTGACCGATTTTCCCTGGGCTTGTCCAGCTCTGGCCCCCTGCCGCCTCCAAGACGAGAAGCTCGACAATGCGCGGCAGCTCTCGGGGCGCCTGCGGGAGCAGCTGGAGCAGCAGATGGAGGAAGCGCTGACCAGCTGCGACGACGGCAATAGCTACTACCAAACCACCCCAATCCAACCCGAAGGCCCCAAGCTGCCCTCAGAAAAAAACACATGGAATCCGCACGCCCCCCCAACCCGAAATTTGGGACATCGGGTTGGGTTGGGGTGGTCTTAAGACGAAGCCAAGACGAGGATAACATCGCGTGAGGACAAGTCGAGAATCTCGGATATCCAGCGGCTCTGGAGGAGGTATCGAGCGCCGCAGCCTTCCCAGAGCGTTCCGGAACACTGAGAGCGTTCAGGAACGCTCTGGAAGTGATTTATCTTCGTCCTTGCCTTAAGTCGGGCACGCTCCTCTACACGAGGAATATTCAAACATAGTCAAAAAATAGTCGGGGCATGATTTCTGACTATTTTTGGAGTACTTTTTGACTCTTTCTCATCTCTCCCTCCCAAATCTGCTTGTAGGAGGACATGCCCGACCTAATCCTAGCCCCGTCTTCAGGCAAGATGGAGGCTTTGCTAGACGCGGCCCTTTCCCGCGGCCTGCCGTGGGAGAAGCTGCCGGGCCCAGTCCACAGGGCAGCGCGGCGGGTGGCCGGCCGGAACCTCCGCAGCGCCGCGGACAGCAGCGACCCGAAGCAGCTGAAGGGCGCGCTGCTCGCAGCGCGGCGCCTGCACGCGACCGGCGTGCAGAGGAGGAAAAGGCATCGATACTGTTATCCCTACAGGGAGCGCGCCTGGTAAGGAGGCGCGCCTTCATCCAGGGCAGCACGCCACGCCTCACCACGGAAGAAGGCAAGACTGCAGAGGCACAGCCTGTCGGAGGTCCGCGCGGGTCTCCTGGGTCGGCGTCCCCGCCCTGGCGCGCGGCGCGCGCCACCGGAGGCGCCGCCAGGGGGACCGCCGACCCCGGATGTCCGCGCACACCTCCGCCAGCTTACGGTCAACGCGACTGGTAAGGACGCGCGCCCTTGTCTAGGTACCTTTGTGTCCTTGCCTCCGCGGCCCGTGCTTTGCCGTTTTCACTGGTCGCCCGCCGGCCTCCAAGGGTCTTGCGTCCCTCACCACCCGTCCTTGCATTTTGACTGCACTTCGTTTTCGCCTTCTTGGACCTGGGAAGCCCTCGTCGCCACCGCTGGGTTCGCCTCGACCTTCTGGTCAGAACGCACCCCAGAGAGGGGTCCTGGGAGTAGCGGGATCAGTACCCTTCGGCTTCCCCAGGCGTGCCCGAGTTCGAGCCGGCGGTGGCGAGGTATCGCGAGGTGCAGCGCTTGCCGGCAGGGTGGGACGTCGCTCGCATGGTGGAGCAGCGGAGGAGCGGCGCCAGACTGCTGGCCAAGAACGACGTCTCGTCCGACGAGGCACTGCGCAGCCTGATACAGTTCATGGTGGACAGGACCTTCCGCCGCGTGGAGACCCGCGACAGGCGCGGGGAGCAGATGCCGGTGCAGCTGCGGGTGATCCAGGTTGCCGAGGTCCAGAACGAGATGATGGGCAAGTTTTCCACCACCGCTACCATAGCTAGGACGGGGGAGAAGGGATGATGGGGAGGTCCCCCACCTCCTCCTCCTCCTCCTCCTCCTCCTCCTCCTCCTCCTCCTCCTCCTCCTCCTCCTCCTCCCTCCTCCTCCCCCTCCTCCTCCTCCTCCTCCTCCTCCTCCTCCTCCCCTCCTCCTTCCCCCCTCCTCCTCCTCCTCCTCCTCCTCCTCCTCCTCCTCCTCCTCCTCCTCCTCCTGCTCCTCCTGCTCCTCCTGCTTCTCCTCTTCCATCTCCTAATTACCTATGGTAGTGGTGGTTGAACATCGGCCCATCACGAGAGCCAGTGGGTGGACTACATGGTCCGGCGGGAGGCCATCTGCCAGGAGATCGCCGAGAGCGCCGGTGCGCCGGGCGTGCCGGGCGTCGCCAGCGTCAGCGCGGCGACGGAGGGCCCCCTGGTCGAGGCTGCCGCCCTGGGGGTCCTGCACGACACGTACCTCACCGTACCAGAGAGCCTGAAGGCCGGAGACCTGATGCGGCTGACCAGCCCCGTCACGGGGGAGCCCGTCGTCTTCCCCGTGCCGTCCACGGTGCTGCCAGGGTCGCAGATGGCGCTGAGCGCCGCCATTCGAGGAACAAACAGCGGCATGAGCATGCAATGTCGGAGGTCCGCGCGGACCTCTGGGGTCGGCGCTGGGGGCCCCCTCCCCGGCGCCCCGGCGCGCGGGGCGCGCCAGAGGCGGTGCAGGAGGTCACCACCCACCAAGCCAATCCGAAGGCCCAACTTTACCCTCGATTTCCAGCAGGGGGTGTCGGGGAAGATCGAAAAAACATAGGTGGAACCCGTACACCCCCCAACCCGAAGCTTGGGTCTTCGGGCTAGGTTGGGGTGGTCTGGTAGGTCGTCAGGAGGAGGCACCAGCGCCGATCCAAGACATCGGCGCGGACCTCCGAATATTGTGCTCGTGCCCCTTTGTTTGGTTCCTCTCGCCATGGCGGCGGGCCTGCCGGGCCCTGAACTGCGCGGCGGCGAGAACGAGGTGTGGCTCTTCCATGGGACGAGGCACGTGGCTGCCGAGAGCATCACGTCGGACGACTTCCGGATCGACCTGGCTGGCTGCTCGGCCGGCAGCCTGTACGGCAGAGGCATCTATGCCAGGGGCCGTCGCGATTCCGCCGGCACCCCCAGCGGAGGGGAGGAGTCGCTGGCGGTGCCCTGGGCTGCTCGGGCGCCCCAGGGAGTGCAAGACGGAGGAGTGCGGCAGGTCAGTTTCGTGCCGGCCCGTCAGCGACCCTGCCGCGGGCTAGTAAGGTTGAACGCCACGGGTGGCGCAGAATCTACCAGTGTGCAGGGATCTGGCGATTCGAGCTTCAACGATCCACGCGGTGCCGGAAGCCAACGCTGGGATCGTCACCACACGAACTTGCCGTACTCTGGAATGCGAGACCGAACACCGCTCCCGCGCGGCCCCACTGCAGTGTGTGGGCTCGCCGGCCTTAAGCGCTGTGCTGAAGCCCCAACGGGAACGACGCGTGCTACCTTCTGCTACCTTCTTCCCTGCATGCATATACCCCAGGCGAATGATGATGATGATGATGATGAGGAGGAGGAGGAGGAGGAGGAGGAGGAGGAGGAGGAGGAGAAGGATGAATCTGCAGGAATCTACATTCAAAGGGAGGCCGCAGCGTTGCTACGCCTCTCCGACGTAAAATTGCTCGGAATTTAGCGAGCGGCCCACCCCCCTGTCCGTCCTCCTCCCAAAAGACTTGACTGAGCTACCAGCCACTGGCAAGGGAGGTCCGCTCCCCCTGCGGAGGGTATAGGACAGCTCATCCCCGCTTTCGGAGTGAGGCTCTTGCGGATACGAATGATCATGGTCTTGCCCGACTGAGTGCGAGCCTGTGGGCACTCTTGGGCGAGCTTGCAGAGACGACCACTACCCGCAATGATGGAGGCATATCGGGCGCACCCCCAGCACCACGCCAAGCCGTGTTGTATGGCGATCGAGTGCGAGGGGTCCACCGTCTTTGACCCCACCCGAAGCTCTCTGACACAGGTGGGGGGTACTTAGACGTGGTGGCCTTGCTCACTCAGATCCCTCTTGGCACAATCCCCGAGACACATCTTGCTGCCCAACCAATCAGCGAGCGAGAATCTACCAGTGGACTGTCGGTACCGTTTGCAGGACCACAGACCGTTTTGCAACCGCACGAGCTCGTGGCCCGACTGGGCCCCGAGCTCCTGAAGCCTGGACGGCCCCGAAACCAAGCCGAAAACGCCGCGGTCGGAATGGTCGAGGTCCTCTCAACTCTGGGCCAGGATCGCCCCAATTCTTTGATGCACGAGGGTGGCTCTCACGTCGGCGATGTTCAAACTCTTGATAGCCGAACGGATGGGAAGGGATGCGGCCTCCGCTCCTCGCTGGGCCAGCATATCCGCCATCTCGTTTCCCCTCGAGACATGCACACACTGGTCTACACTTACATGTTAATCAACATCCAAGTGTGAGTAACATTCACGAACGACCACTCTACCGTTGCCCCTACTTAGCAGGGCATCTCTGACTCTGCTCCACCAGCGGACTAAAGGACCAGTCGGTTTCTCCGCCAGGCCCTCGGACCAGCCCTGGGAAGCAACATTACAATCAGTCCAAAGCAAAAGCGGCCCCGTGGTGACCCGAAGGGCCCAAACTAGGGCAGCGATCTCGCTGGCAGGCACAGTTTGCTCCCCATCGATGGTACCGACAAGTCCTCTCCGGGGGCCCTGATCCACGTCCAGCTCCGCCTCCCCATCAAAACGGAAGTACCCCCCCACCCCACACGGCACACGCGGGCATCGCTGGACGTGGCCGAGCCGTCGAGGAAGCCAAGTTGGGCCTGGAGGGGGTAGGAGTCGGAGGGCAGGAGCGCACGGGCAGGGGAGAGGTTAGGGGGAGGAAGCCCAAGAGCCCAAACGTCTTGGCCTACCCCTGAGTTCCACTCGGGGGGCTTGCGCCCTGGGTTCCAGGACGGGGGAACGATCCATCGGGTCCAGAAACTGACATTCCGCCCTTCACTCAGGCCGTCTTGCGCAGCCTCGCACAGTCCGTCAGTCCTGCTCACTCACTCGTGCTCCAGCTGGCGGCTCGCCGAGCACTCGTACAGGCGGTGGGCGATCACGTCTCGCCCTCATTCGCATCTCGGGCATGCACCGTCACACTCGCAGCCCGCTGATCTGGCGCGAGCCTGTGTCCATATGCTGGCCAGGGCGTTGGCCTCCAGTGCCCCTGCTTCTCGATGGCGGTCCTGTCTGCGCAAACTGCGTAGGTTGACTCGTAGCATGTGTAGGTCACCTCCTTCCTCCAGTCCTTTTCCTTCAGGATGCCCAGCTGCCTGCCGCCATAGCTCTTGCCGAACCGACTCCCGAAGTGCCTGGAAGATCTCGTCACAGGTGTCCTCGTCGCCAAGGTGCTGCCACTCGTCGCCCTGATCGTGAGCCCAGAGGTCTGATGCTCGAGGTATCCAACCCATCTCGCGGAGGCTCAGGATCAACGCCCCCATGGGTCCAGTGACACATTTCCATCTCGGTCTCGGTCTCGTGTAGATATCTTTTTCAGCACTGCTCTCCATCCGCGTCGGATTCGCTCTCGGAGTGGTGGGTTCGCAACCCAGAACTGGAACCAATTCACCACCTGGTCCATTACCACACTCATCTTGGGCTCGTCATCCTGATAGTGTGGCAGCATGGTAATGGCAGTGCATTTCCCTCCTGTGGTATGACCTGCAAGATCAGCTGCACGTGCTCTCCTCATCTTTATCTCCGCAGGTGCGACCCCCGTCGCTGGGTCCGAGTATCTGCACTTGGCCCTGATGTTGGCGTTGTGCAGCATGACTACTCCCTTGGTCCGCTTGCCGCCTCTCCCAACTCTCCGAAATAGTGTGGTACGCGCTGCTCGTGCTTAGGCAATCGTCACGCGACCATGCGTCGTCTTGCACACGCGCTGCTGGCCCATGGTGCAGTCGATCCCCAGGTCCTTGGCTTGCTTCGCCCTCTTGATCTTGATACCCGTCAGCTTGAACACGTGCTTCTGGACCTTGATCTCGTCGGCTGGGTTGGACATCATGAGGATAGCCTTTGGCGATACTCGGAGGCCCAGGTCCAGCATGCCTTGCACCAGTCCGATGGTCACGCACTGCGTCTGCTCTAATACCATAGCAGCGTGTCCCTCAAGTCGCCCATGCACGCCGTCCACATATTGGCGACTGTTGGCAAGGGGTGCCTGTGCATGTGCGTGCTCAAGGAGACGGTACAGGAACGCTCTTGCAGAATGGTTGGCTTTGCCACAGCCAGGTACGATGGAGCAGTTCGGGATGATGGCCTCAGCGACTGCTCCGTGGGCTCGAATCGTGCGTGGTGCCAGGTATGTGAGACAACATAAGCACAGCTCACCGCTGGGAAATCCAGCACGATCGCCTGGCGAGTCATCAGGGCCAGGTCCATACAGTCGTAGATCTTCTCCACGTCCACTAGGAAGTTGCTCTGCTCGTTGTAGGCCCTGGTCTCATCCATCACCATGGACTTGAGCGCGGCCTGTGGGGCACTGCTGCCCTTGACGACCACGTCCCAACGGGCTGCTCTTGTCGCACCACTCGGTCGAGGGGCTCTTGGTCATGCGGCCCCATGCGGATGAGCGTAAGTCGGAGGCCGATGTTGCGCTCGTTGCCGATCACTGGCTTGTCGCCCTTCGGGAGGAGTGCAAGCCAGTTGTGCAGCAACTGGTGTTGCCTTGCCAGGCCTCTCTCCACCATCTTAGGGATGGCCACGAAGCTCTCCTGCCCCTGGTCCGGGAGCGCAAGGGGGTGGTTCGGCTTCCACTGGTCCGAGTCCTTGCCTGTGTTCTTTGGGAAGCTCTTGAGCGCTGCTACCAGTCCCTGTCTGTTATGGTGCGGCCGCGCTGCCAACTCCTCGGTGGCACGGACTCGGAGTTGCCCGAGGAGAGCACAGACCATTGGTAGTCGGTGGGGCTGGGATGTCCACCTCGCTTTCCAGCACGCCGCCCTGGTCTCGGTAGTGCTCTGAACCGTCTCTAGCGTGTCGGGGTTCAGGCAGGTCTCGTCCAGCGCCCTCTGCTCGGTCTTCTTCAGGTAGCGGTGGGCGCTCTTCATGTAGCCCTGCGCGTTTAGCTTCGCCCGCTTGCCGATATCGCTCCGCGTCTGCTGCCGTGCTAAGCTGGCGTGTCGCTTGCTCTCGCTTGAATGCGCACTGCGAAGTTCTGCCACAGTCCGTAGCCTGTACAGTGTCGTAGGAGCTTACCTTGCTGAAGTACTGCTGTATCATCTCAGTATACTTTCCACTTGCCACCGTGGTCCAGCTCATGTCCTGGAGGTATTTGGGCCTTCCCCTTCATGGTGCTGACATAGGTTCTCGATGAGCTTTCTCACAACAGTTTGTACTCCACGTTGGTACTGTGAATGGCGGTAGCAGTATCGCCCTAGAGCAAACGGCGGCTCTTGGACTCGTGCATGTAGAATATGCCATTTGTTATTCTTATCGTTGGGGCTGACATGTCCAAAGCTGGTGTCTCTCGCCTGCTTGACCGCCTTGCGCCATTGATACTTCACAGGCTTTCCTCGCCTTGCATCCTGTCGGGGTTTAACGTTGCACAGATCTGCCAATTGCGACACCGCCGCTACAGCCCATACAGCGTAATGCTTGACCAGCGCCTCGCTCATGTGGGGCGCTTCGCAGTAGGCCCCGCTCTGCTGCGCCGCGGGGTCGGCCTGGAATGAGTTGGAGCTCAGCAGCTCCTGGGCCTCCTGCACGTAATTGGCCCACTCGTGATCCTCGCAGCGCATCTGGCACTAGGTGGTGTAGTGGTCGTCCAGCAGTTGCTCGTTCTCGTCGTCTAAAAGGTCGCCCTGCTGGAGGATGTCCTGCTCGTTCCTTGCCTCAGGAGTTTCGCGTGCCTTTGCTGGCCCGTCTGGAACCGCTTAACACCTTTCTGGGTTCGCGCCTCTTCTTCTGCGATTTCCAAAGGCACGGGGGCACTGGGGCCCTGAGGAGGACACAGACAGGCCTCGATGTGGTACGAATGTCAAGGCCTATGTGCGCCCCCCCACGGCAACGTATGGACTGGTGAGACTTGCGAGAAGGGGCGGAAGCCGTTAGGCACGATCACATAGTCGATCATGCGGCCCTTGCCAGAGGTGCACGTCACCTCCACTCCCTTTGGGGGATGTTGTCGCCAGGCAGCGCCTCAAGCCAACCTGAGCGCGACATCTCGCTCGGCGTGGCGTTGAAGTCTCCCACTAGCAGCCAGGGGGCTCCCAGCGACTTGACGATGCGGGTAGTCATGGTAATCTTCTTGCCGTCGATGCCACCCAGGCCTATCGTGTAATCCAGGTAACACGCGACGAAGGCGAAGGTCGCGCCATGGAAACGCCGCATAACCACAGAGATGTCCTGCAGCGCGTCGTGGCATGTGCTCTTGGTCTTGGGCCCCTGGAGATGGACGCTGGTGGCATTTCCAGGGCGTCGGAACCAGCGCGTCCCCCCGTGCGTGCCCTTAGCTGACCTACCTGTCGCCGTCGCCGCCGACCAGGTACCCTCGGATCCCCAACCAAATTTGCGAAGCCTTCGCTCTTTTCGTTGACATTCCACTTCTCCTAAGTGGTGCCCCGCCAAACCCACGAGGTCAAACGGGGCGTTCTGAACAAACTGCTTCGCCTTGGGGCCGTAGCTAGCCACATTCCCAAAGACTAGCGAGACGTGCTTGCGTTGGCCGAAAGGGGTACGTCCTTCATGCTGTACTTGCGGGGCTCCTGCTGCTGGCTGCTGGCAGCTACCCGCCCGGTGTGGAAGCTGGTGCGCCTGCTGCTGTAGCCGCGGGCCTGGTGGCTGCCTTGGCTGCCTCTGCCGCCGCCGCTCTGGCCTTGATGGCCGCGGTCTTCTGGACGAAAACGTCAACGTTCTTTGGGTCCGAGCAGTCCAGGCCAGCGTCGCCCTGCACCCGCGCTTCAGCGGGCGCCTCTGGGGCCGCAGGTGCTCATGCTGCGACGCCTGCTGCGACGTCGGCCTTGCGCCCCTTAGCCGGTGTTGCTTTCTCTCGGAGCTCGCGCACTGTCTTGGCCGCATCCTGGGCCCGCTGTCCGATGTCCGCCGCGCTCTTGTAGACCTCCTGCGCCTTCTTGGCGTGGCCGAGCGCCTCCTCGTAGACCTTCTTCAGTTCTGTCTTGAGCAGTTCGGCGTCCTCCGTGGCCAACTCAGGGAACTGGAACTGCGCGTCGCTGCCGCCGTGCCTGTCGTCATCGTGCTTCGTGGTGGTCGCGCCCTTGGCCGTTGTGGTGAGGTTAGTGAGTCGGTTGACCTCTGCCTGAGCCTCCGCGCTCGACCTGACATTATCCTCCAACTTGCCCACGAGCTCCTTGCCGATCTTGGCGTTGGCCACCAGCTGGCTCTTGAGCTTCTCTTGCTGGGTGTGCACTTTGCAGGCAAGCTGCCTACTTCTCGAGCTGCACTTCTGGGGCCTCTGGTGGAGGTGGTCGGACAGCCTCCGCAAGTGCAGGGCAGATCACCTCCAGCGCTTTGATCGTGGCCTCGTCCTTGTCCATCCTCGCAGCCTTGTACTTGGGCAACAGCTGCTCGAGGAGAGCGGCGGTGGCGCTGTCGCTGCTGGGCTGGTCCTGCACCGCGAAGGTGACCGCCTTGTAGCTGCTAGACTGCTGCTTGAGCCAATGTACTCCGCAAGTCCGACAAGACTCCCAGCCTGCAGTGCCCGCTCTGCTGCAGTGTACCCATGAGCCAGGGCAGCTACGACAAACAACATAAGCTTGGCGACGCTTCCCGTGGGTGGATGGAGGTCTCGAACCATCTCTGCTCTTGGCTCGCGCGCTCCAACTCCGACCCATCAATCAATCAACTCTCCTTGGTCGGACATTCGACTTTCGCCGCCTGAGGGGCGCCCCTCAAGCCGCGGGAGCGTGTAGCGGGCCGCTGGGCCCGCCCACGCTCGTTGCGCGCGAGTGGCGTGCGGGTGGGGACCTGCTCCCAAGAAAGCCCCTCGTGCCACAAATGGCTTGAGAGGAGGAGGAGGAGGAGGAGGAGGAACAGGAGGAAGAGGAGGCGGAGGAGGCGGAGGAGGATGATGAGGACGAGGAGGAGGCGGAGGCTCCGGCGGCGGATGATGATGCTGATGATGATGATGATGATGATGATGATGATGATGCTGATACTGATGCTGATGCTGATGATGATGATGATGCTGATGATGATGATGATGATGATACTAGTGATGATGTTGATGATGATGATGCTGATGCTGATGCTGATGCTGATGCTGCTGCTGATGCTGATGCTGCTGCTGATGATGCTGCTGCTGATGATGCTGCTGCTGATGATGATGATGATGAGGAGGAGGAGGAGGAGGAATAATAATAGGAATACTTACAAGAAGACGAATCATATTATAATAAGTTAATAATAAAACGAAGACGAATCCGAATAATCGCAATGCTACTAAGACGACGAACGCGAGTCGTACACATAAGCAGCTTGTCACTACTAAGACGCATAAGCGTACTACTCATAATAATACGAGTGGTAATAACCGTATTTAGACGTATGCTAAGGATAGTGATAATACTCGTACGAATGATTTTAAGCCCAACCATCGTACTGTTTGTATTACTAATTGTAAGAATCATAGTAAGAGTAAACATACAGCGAATACATACATGATGACATCAATCATCGTGATATTACGACTACTAAGAATAATACTAACAACATACCATTAAGAAAAGGAGGAGGATGAGGAGGAGGAGGAGGAGGAGGAGGAGGAGGAGGAGGAGGAGGAGGAGGAGGAGGAGGAGGAGGAGAGGGGAGGAGGGCAGGTGCCTCGAATTTGCTAACCGCTTCCTTCCTGCGGTGGTCTTGACAACGGAACGAAGGACGCGTACACAAATCGCCGAATCGGAGCGCCAGATAGCCACGAGTTCGAACGCTTGTGGACACTTTGGGGGCCCTCTTGTGGCCCTCCCGAGCAGTATCGGAGTGCGTGGATAGGGCGGGCTTTTGAGGCGGTCATGGTGCCAGTTGAGGCCACGTTGGGCTCCTCCCCGGGGGCCTTGTGAGCCCATCATGGGCCTCTGTTGGGCCACTTCGGGGCCATCTTTGATTGGAGCTTTGCAGCAAGTTCCAGTCGGCAGAGGGGCCAGGTGAGCAAACGCGTCAACCCAAAGCCGGCTTTGGCCTCTCGGGGCCTGCTTTGGAGGCTGCGGGGCGAGCCTGGAGCCATCTGCGGGCCTGCGGGCCGACTGGTGTCATCCTGGGTCCTCCAGGATGCCGTGCTGGACGGAGCCGCAGCCTTGGGCGAGCCTGGGACCCGCGGGGCCATCCTCCAGGGGGCCTCCTGTGCGCGCAGGTGCTGCGCTGCTCGCCCTCCCCTGAACGCGACCTCCGGGAGGGGGGGACGGGGAGGCGACGCCCCCGCCTCCCCGAGGGCCGCCACGGCGCCCTCGATGGCGCGAGGCTCCTCGCGCTTCGCGCGCTTCGGCGCCGATTCCTCATCCTCCTCTGCTCCCTTCGCGCTTCGCGCAGCACGAAGCGCGACGCTGAGCGCCCCTGGTGGCGACATCGCGAGGCGTCACGACTGGCGCCGTGCCTCGACGGCCCATGCGGGCCCTGGCAGAGGGCCTCCACGCGGGGCCCGGAGCGGCCACATCGCTCGTCGCGGGGAACGCCATGGGGGCAGGAGCGGGCAGAGCGACGTGCACGCGCGTGAGCTTTTCGGCCACGCGCAGAGGGGGGTAGGGGAAGGGGGGAAGGCTTCTTAGAAGCGCCCCTGCTTCATAGAAGGCGCGGGCCTTGTCTGTAGAGGTAAGGCCCGCGCCTTCCAAGAAGAAGCCTCCTTCTAAGAAGCCTTCCCCCCTCCCCCTACCCCCCCTCTGCGCGCCGCCAAGCTTTCGTGGGCTTGGAGAGCTCGTGGTGCGCGAGCGCGTGCGTCTTCCCAGGGCTCCGACGACTCGAAAATCACGGGCCCTGGACTCCATCTTTCTGCGGCATTTTTCGAGCCAGATCGATCCGTGAGGCTCCAGGGGCCCGAAAGCATGCGAAAGCGCCCAGGGTGAAGAAATTGCGATTGCGAGTACGGGAGTACGGGGTCTTCAACGACAGCTGCCAGTGCGGCAGACACGAGTACAACAACGAATGCGACGCGAACCCACGACGCCAAGATCTCAGGGCCCTCCCTGGCATGCGGGGCCGGCGGGCCTGGCCGAGAACTCGTCGAAGGCAGACGAGTATAGCCACGTGGACCCCGGCACAGGGCTCTTCACGATGCTGCTGTGCAGGGCCACGCTGGGCCGCCACCTCTACACCGCGGAGCTGCAGCCCGACCCGCGCAGGTGCGAAGACGCCTGCCTAAGGGGTTTGCACCACTCGGTGCTGGGGGACCGCAGGGCCTGCAGAGGCTCGAAGAGGAAAAAACGCTATGAACATACTCTTTTGGCGCTCCGCGAGGATTTCGTGAATCCGCGCTGGGCCCCTCTGGCGGCGCCTCCGGCGCCGCCCCTGGCGCGCTCCGCGCGCCAGGGAGGGGGTTCCAGCGCGGATCCAAGGAATCCGCGCGGAGCGCCAAAAGTTTATGTTCATGCCGTTTTTTCTTCATTCAGAGGCACCTTCCGCGAGTTCGTCGTCTTCGACGAAGACCAGGTGTACCCCAGCTACATCGTGAGGTACAAGAGAGTCCTGCCAGCCCCGACGGGCCGAGGGTAGTACAGAGCGGCGCGCCGAGGCAGAAAACAGGCGCTCGAGGGTGGGGGTGGCGGGGGCGTCAGCGCCGAACCCGAGGATCTCCGCGCGGACCTCCGAATGTGTATGTTCATGGAGTGCGTGTTTTGGTTCTCTTGGCTGCAAGGCCCCCGACCTCCGTCTCCAATGTACCTTCCGCGCGGCATAGTGCCCTTCTCGGCCCGCGGGATGCGGTCGCGGCGGCGGCCGCGGGAGGTGCGGAAGGTGGTGGAGGCCGCGCGGCAGGTCGAGGGGGGCTCCGCCTCGGTGAGCGGGCAAAGGGCGGTTATGCGATGCACCGCTCTGCCGTCGGGGCTGCCCGTCCCTGGGCGGCCGCAAGAGCCTGCGGCGGCGCGCGGGAGCCTGAGCTCTCTGGCCTTGTCCTGGGACACGTCGACGCGTGCGCGTGGCTCTGTTGCTCGGTCCCCCCTTCGGTAGCAAGTCATGGGAGCCCTCGCAGTTCAGTCGTTGGAGTGCATTCGCGTCGATGGGCGTCTGGTACTCGATGAGGTAGCGCCGACCTAGTGTCGATCAGCGCCGCCTTAGCGTCGACTAACGTTAATTCGGGGGTGGATTAGCAAGAGCCAACACGATGGTATGGGAAGCTTCGCGGGGGATCGAAGAACAACAAACGCCATACACAAACTCTTGGCGCTCCGCGCGGATTTCTTAGGTCCGCGCTGGGCCCCCCAGGCGGCGCCTCTGGCGCCGCCCCTGGCCTGGCGCGCTCCGCGCGCCAGGAAGGGGGGTCCAGCGCCGATCCGAGAAATCCGCGCGGACCTCCGAGTTTGTATGTTCATGTTATTGTTCGTTCCCCAAGTCTGCGATGCATTGCCGACAGATCGGCGAGCCCCCGTGGCAGCGTGTGAAGCCGCGCGCTCCTGGGCGGGGTGGGCCATCGGGGCCCCCATCGGCTAGGAATGGGCGATCGGGGGCCGACGCCTTCTCTCCTGAGCCTATCCCCTCACGTCGCCAATGATTCTCTCGAAGGAATAATGACAGTACGGTTCATACTATTATTACGATTGGTACTAATACTAGTAACAGTAAGTAACATACGAATACTAACATGCATAATACGTATACTACTACTAAGAATAATACTCATCTCAATAAGAGTATAAGAGCAATAATTTGATTACTACTACCTCGACTACTACTACTACTGCTACTACTACTACTACTACGACTACTACTACGGTTAGCGCTACCACTACTACTGCAACTAGTCGTACTTTTACCAATACACTTACTAATCATATTACTGATATTACTACTTATCGTAGTACGTTGATCACACTAATAATACTTATACCAGCACTACACATAGTAGTATAATAACTCTTAACACTTCTCATGTTCTGGACAATTTCACAAATAATACCGAAGTTTATATATACTGTTAATTTGCATTTAATTTTCTCCATCTGAATCCTATTACTTACTATTACTATTCATATTCAGATGAATAATACGATGCGTACACATCGTAGTGATACTGATAACAATAATCAGATTGATCATAAAATTGAGTGTACTAGGAATAGTATAAACAATCGTAGTCGTACTCGTATCAGTAAGAGTAAAGGTAAGAGTAACAGTAGTAGTACTAATACTCGTAATATTTGTTGCAATGGTGATAGTAATAGTAGTTGTAATAGTAATCGCAGGCGTAAAAGTAGTAGGAATAGTACACGTAATAGTAATAGCAATGGTACTAGTACTAGTACTAGTGCTAGCAGTAGTAATAGTGATCGTACGGGTAATAGTCATAGTAATAGTAATGTTAATAGTACTAGTGATCTTACCAGTCGTAGTAGTACTAGTAATAGAACTAGTGCTGGCACTTGTACTCCTAGTAATTGTAGTAGTACCAGTAGCAGTAATATTCGTGGTAGTATCAGTAGTGGTAGTAGTACTAGTAAAGCTAATAGTGCTAGTAATCGTACCAGTTATGGTAGTTGTTATAGTAGTAGTAGTAGTAGTAGTAGTAGTAGCAGTAGCAGTAGTAGTAATAGTGAGGTTGATGGTAATGGTAACATAGTAGTAATGGTAGCAGTAATAGTAACAGTATTCGTGATAGCAGCATTATTTGTAATAGTAGCCGTAACAATACTACTACTATTACTAGTACTGCTCGCAATTCGTATACTAATAATAGACATCGTACTCGTAATGTGCATAGTGATCGATGTGGTAATAATGCCACCAGTAGTAGTTTTTAAAGTGATAGTGATAGTGATGGTACTAGTCATAGTACTAGTACTACTGGTCGTGATAGTAATAGTAATAGCAAACGCCATAGTAATAGTACTAGTGCTAGTGATAGTAATAGTACTCGTAATCGTAATAGTATCAGTGATAGGAATAGGAATAGGAATAGGACTAGGAATGGGAATAGGAATAGGAATAGTACGGGTACTGGTAATAGTAATAGTAATAGTAATACTATGAGTAATCGTAATCGTAAATCGTAAATCGTAAACCGTAAATAGTAATAGTAATAGTAATAGTAATAGTAATAGTAATAGTAATAGTAGTAGTAATAGTAATAGTAATAGTAATAGTAATAGTAATAGTAATAGTAATAGTAATAGTAATAGTAATAGTAATAGTAATAGTAATAGTAATGGTAATAGTAATAGTAATAGTAATAGTAATAGTAATAGGTATACTAATAGTACTGGTACTGGTACTAGTACCAGTACCAGTACCAGTACTAGTACTAGAAATAGTAATAGTAATAGTAGTAGTAATAGTAATAGTACTAGTAATAGTAATAGTGATAGTAATAGTAATAGCAAGGGTAATAGTACTAGTAATAGTAATAGTAATAGTAATAGTAATAGTAGTAGTAGTAGAACTAGTAATAGTAATAGTAGCAGTAAAGGGTACTAGTACTAGTAATCGTAATAGTAATGGTAAAGTTAATATTAGCAGTAACAGTAATAGTAGCAGTGCTAGTGGTAGTTTTAGGAACAGGAATGAGACTCGTATTCGTATTGAAAAAAGTGAGAGTAATAATAGTAGTACTAGTACTAGTAATAGTAATAATAATCGTACTAGTACTAGCGATAGTAATACTAATAGTATTAGTAATAGTAATAGTGATAGTAATAGTACTAGTACTAGTAATAGTAATAGTAATAGTAATAGTAATAGTAATATTAATAGTGAAAGTCATAGTAATAGTACTAGTAATAGTAATAGTAATAGTAGTAGTACTAGTAATAGTAATAGTAACAGTAATAGTGATCGCAATAGTAATGGTAATAGTAATGGTAATAGTATTATAATAGTACTATAGGAACAGGAGTAATAATAGTAATGCTAATATTTGTAGTAGTAGTGTTAGTGTCAGGAATAGGAGTAGTACTCGTAATATTAATAATAATAGTAATAGTAATAGTAACAGTAATAGTAGCAGTAACATTAATAGTAATAGTAGTAGTATTAGTACTAGTACTAGTAATCTTAATAGTAGTAGTAGTAATAATCGTAGTAGTAATAGTAACAATATTAGAAATGGTACTAGGAATCGTCATCGTAACAATAATAGTAATAGTAATCGTAATAGTAATAATATCAGCAAACATAGTACTAGTACTAGTACTAGTACCAGCACTAGTACTAGTACTAGTAATAGTACTAGTGCTAGTGCTAGTGCTAGTGCTAGTAATAGTCATAGTAATAGTAATAGTAATAGTACTAGTAATAGTAACAGTAATAGTAGTAGTAATAGTAATAGTAGTAGTAATAGTAATAGTAATAGTAATAGTAATAGTAATAGTAATAGTAATAGTAATAATATCAGTAATAGTAATATTAATAGTATTAGCAAAACAGTACTAGTAATAGTAATTGTAATAGTAAATGTGTGAGGAACAGTAATAGTAGTAGTAATAGTAGTAGTACTATTAATCGTAATCGTGATGATAGTAGTAGTGATAGCACTAGTAATAGCAGTAGTCATAGTAACCGCCATATAGTAATAAAAATAGTAATATACAAAGTGATAGGAATAGGAAAAGGAGTAGGAATTGGAACCGGAATCGTAGTAGTAGTAGGAGTAGTAGTAGGTTTTAAGAGTAATAGTAATAGTACTCGTAATACTATTAGTAATCGTACTAGGAATAGTAATCGTAATAGTAATAGTAATCGTAATACTATTAGTAATCGTAATCGTAATAGTAATAGTAATAGTAATAGTAATAGTAATAGTAATAGTAATAGTATTAGTAATAGTAATAGTAATAGTAACAGTAATTGCAGTAGTAATAATATTCGTAATCGTAATACTAATAGTAATAGTAATAATAGTAAAAGTAATAGTAATAGTAATAGTAATAGTAATAGTAATAGTAATAGTAATAGTAATAGTAATAGTAATAGTAATAGTAATAGTAATAGTAATAGTAATAGTAATAGTAATAGTATTAGTAGTAGTAATAGGAATAGGAATAGTAATCGTAATAGTAATAGTGATAGTAATAGTGATAGTAATAGTAATAGTATTAGTAGCCGTAATAGTATTAGTAATATTAATAGTAATAGTAATAGCAATAGTAATAGTTATAGTTATAGTTATAGTAATAGTAATCGGAATATAACTAGTAGTCGAAAACATATTATTACTAGTACTAGTACTAGTAATAGTAATAGTAATAGTAATAGTAATAGTAGTAGTAATAGTAATAGTAATAGTAATAGTAATAGTAATAGTAATAGTAATAGTAATAGCAATAGTACTAGTAATAGTAATAGTAATAGTAATAGTAGTAGAAATAGTAATAGCAATAGTAATCGTAATAGTAATAGTGATAGCAATAGTGATAGTAATAGTAATAGTATTAGTAGCAGTAATAGTATTAGTAATAGTAATAGTAATAGTAATAGTAATAGTAATAATAATAGCAATAGTAATAGTTATAGTTATAGTTATAGTTATAGGAATGGTAATAGTCATAGTAATAGTAATAGTACTA